ACTTCCCACATCAAAACTCTATACAAATTTCTCTCCTTATATCTCATGTGAATAGTGGTTGTTCTTGGGTTGCCATGACAATGGGTGGAAAACTAACAAAAAAATTGCTAAGGCAGGCACTATTCATGTGAATAGTAACAACCCTCGCCTCCCCTTACCTTTTGCCATGACAAATGGGTGGAAATACTCTCATGGATCATCCTATACTCTATCACTTACATAATGGCCTCTTTTGGTCTTTAGTTTTAGTACTTTACAATTCTTCCTAGTCTCTTGTGTATTTCATCGTCTCTTTATAATATCTCTCCATATGTGCAATCTTATAGCGGGGGCTTATAACTTTAGTAGTTAAAAGCATTTATACTTATATCTGATGTTCGAATCCTCATTTCTTAATGGACACATATACGAAAGAAGAAGGAAAGAAAAAAACCACATACACAAGCATAAATGCATTCAAATGTATATATGTATAGCTTAAGTATTTCATTACTTAACCCCTAATTGTACATTAGTAGGAGGTGATATCTGTATAGATTTTCATGTTCATGAAATGGATATATATATATAACCATGTAGACGTCCGAACGTTATTATCATGCGGACATTATTGTAAATAAGAAAGAAAACAAAGAGAAGTAGTAGAAAATACATGACATTCAGTATGGTAATAGCGTCCCATAGGAGAAAATCTACATATATATATATTTGAAAGTGAAAAATTATATAATGCATAAAGGGAAAAGCCATGGGAGCTCCACCCGTGCACTCCCCACTCTCTTGCTGTACCCACAAGCAAAAACCCTATATAGCTTTCGACAGACTATACCATAATATATAGCATTGCCGTGCTGACCAGAAGCACCCTACTCAATATATAAAAATCCAAAAAACTTCGATCGTGCAACATTCAAAGATGCCAATCGTGTTTCTTTCAAGAACAGACTGCAGTGCCGTAATGGATTTTCCATAGGGGTCCCCTGCATGGTGCTCTGCTCTGCATGGACCATTTTAACTCTCTCTCTCTCTCTCTCTTTTACCTCTTTTTTTTTTTTATACATTATCTATTATTATTTTCACTAAAACATCCACTAAGGGGCCTACACGTTGTAGGGTTTTTTATTTTATAGTGGGGCATGGTGCACTCAAAGGGAACAAACAGTCATTTGTAGGGCAACGTGAGCTACAGGACTATGGAAGTTTGAAAATAAAATAAGGGGTGGGTGTGGAGGCTCTTTCTCCTTTGTCACTTATAGATGATTATGTTTTCAGTTTCTCCAGATAAGAACCGACCCATCATCTTGGAATGTTTCAATAAACTCCCAAAAGTTGTTGGTCTTTGTTGGCCCACTTTGTGTTTCTCACTATAGCACACCATTTTATAATATCAAGTCAATTTATAAAACGGTGATAAGAAGTTTAGTTGTGATAGAAGATGATGAGCCACGCACTTCTCTTTCCCACTTTTCCCGATTAGGCCGTAATAAAGTCAAGTTTGGTGGATCGTATTGGTTTGAGTTTTGATTATTTCAATTTCCACGAGGGAATTGAAGAAAACAGTTTAACATATTATATCTTATAAGTCCCTTCTTGAATAATAAGACTCTAAAAATTCGTTTGAACTTAACTACAATCTAGTACAATTCCAACCACCAAACTCGATGGAATATTATCAAAAATAAATAAAAATATTGATCAAAATGTGAACAAGTAATCAAATACTACAAACCTCTTTTTTCTTTTCCCATTTATTTTTCCTTTCTAAATATATATATATAAATATAAAAACGCATGAATGGGAGGACACACAACATCACTGTGTCTTTGATGCACAACACGTGGATGATAGGGGGCTACAAAAAGCAGCTGAACCAAATGCCCCATAATGCTTCAAGATTGGAAAGTATCTTTGATATCTGAAATGAAAGGGAAGCAAATAATAGATGCCACTCTCTCTCCCCAACTTAATAGTGGGGTTGACATTTGTTTTTGACCCATTTATGTTAATGTTTTTGCGGTTTGACTATTAGGGTTAGTTGGGTCTCTCCTCCAATTAAAATTGGTACGTTATTCTTGATTGAACAACGACTAATCGGGAAGTGAGAGGGGGGAGGTGGGAAAGAAGTCCAAGAAGCTATGAACTCTATGGAGTGGAGGCAAAGAGTAGTTTAAAAAATGTTCTTTGTAATTCTTTTGGGAGAGGGTTTGCTGTGTTCAAACCCTAGCTTTTATTAGTGCATGAGTCAAAGCACAAACCTTAGTCATATATATTATTTGTTCAAAAACGCTAACAATGTTGGGCATGCACAAGTTAGAAAATGACATGGAGTTGAGCCTGGAACGTGAATTAGTCTTGGCTATTTTCACACGGAAGCATACCCCATTGGAAGTGGTGTAAGCAAAATTGAGAGAGTTTGAATGGTAGAAGCCAAGAACATAAATATCTGTACGATCAGTTGGTCACGGTTGAATAACAAGAGGAATATGTATACGATCATCTCATGCATTTTGAAAATCACAGTTTTGTTTGTTTATGTGAGGAACAAGGGCATATGGTTGGGCATTTGTACTGCCAATTATAGAATTGGAATGAGGGAAATTAGCCAAAAACAGTACAAAAAGATGCTCATTCTGACTTTTCAAGGGGTATAGGAGCAAATAAAGTTGCAAACACTTGCTAAATGACAACAACAAATGCTTCATGCCAATTAATAATTGGAATGAGGGAATTAGCCAAAAATAGTTTATGTGTGGGAACTCATATCTGGGAATGGCTCACAAGGGACTTTTATTCTTCTTCCTCCTCTCCCTCTGTTAGCCTTTTTCTTTGGGTGTGCCTCCTTCTTCCTCCTCTCCCTCTGTCAGCCTTTTTCTTTGGGACAAGAGAGTGGGTGATAATTGAACTCTTACCCTAGGTGTCAGATAATTGTTTTAGGATCGAAGTTATAAGTTCCCATCTCTTAAAATTCTTGATTTGGTAGCATGGTTGCACTCATACCTACTCACACAGGCATGAACGAAATAACTTTGCAGGAAGAGAATTCATTGTGTTGAAGAATAGTGGGATAGAAGTTTATGAAATTTGTATGTGAAATAAGGATACTCACAAGCCCAGTGGCCGTTTAGCCCACCCGTAACTTGAAAGTATGGGTTATGCTTATTGGTCAAGAATTTTAGATGCTAAAGCTGGAATGGGCTTGTGTGAACTTCGGCCTAACCCATTTTTCAGTTGGGAGCTTGATGGACAATAAAATTAGATTTTGATAGTCATATTCCCTCATAGCAAAATTCTATAGTGAGAGGTGCCATATATAGACCCCTTATGTGGACTATTATATTAGCCACATCATTATTTCATTAAACTTAAGTGAAGTTACTATTCAGATAAATCATGTGGCTAATATGAAGGTCCACATCTATAATCCATATATGACACCCTCACCAAGTATTAAGAGAAAGCGAGAAGTGAGAATAAGAGAGAGCCAATGAAATGATAAGCTTCCGTATTTCTCTCGAACCCTCTTATCCCTCCAAAACCCAGAAAACCCTTCAACCCAATGGTTTTCTTTTTGGATTTGGGGGTCTTCCCCCATATCTCTTCAAACAAATAAGGAATTGGTTGATTCCCGGGCTCCTCTCCTCCCCTCCCCCCTCGCTGGTTATGTTGTGGAGAGCTTTTTCCTTCCAATTTTTTGTTCTTCCATGTTGTTGGCATGGTTAATCTAACCCCAGTTTTCTAGGGTTTTTTGGGTTTATGTGAATATCCTCTTTCCCCATACCCAAGGACGGACCTATGTGTAGGCTAATGTGCGCTTTAGCCTAGGCCAAAATTTCTAAATTGGTGTAAATTTTGTAAGGATATTTCTACTACAATAAATATTAGGCTATTAGCCCACGTGTATATGTCTTTTCTTGTTTTAATATTAGCACATTCATTTTGTATCTCTCTCTAACCTAATAAAATAATAAAACACAACATGTGATTTTTTTTTTTGGAGGACCTTTCCTATTGAGAGGGGCAATAATATACTAAACTTATACACACTACATGGATACTAGGACTCGAACCCAGGACCTTGCCTGAGGAAGTAAATACTTCAAACCACTACACTAATGGGTCCTTTGCACAACATGAGATATTTAATACAAAAGAAATGTTGGAAATTTCAATTAGGAAGGAATTAAAGTCAGCTTGGCTTCTCCGTTCTCTTTTCTCTCTGCTACCAAAACTCTTTATTTTCATCTCATTGAACTTGATAAGGAGGCAAAAGGGAATTATATGCTCTCCTTTCACTTCACTATTGCACATTTCATCTATTTTTTTAGAGAATATGGAATCATTTTGCAAAAATCATGACATTGATATGCCAGATATGAATGCTCGTTATAAAGTTCGATCCGTCTTTGCTTTTGATATATATATATATTTGTTTAAAAATATGGTATATAATTGATCCCAGCCAGAAAACAAAAAAAAAAAAAAAAAGCCAAACCTTGTAAATATTCCTGGGTCCGCCATTGCCCACGACTCAGAATTCTACCTTGGTTGTGTGTTGGATCTTTTCTGATTTGGTTAGATCTATCTCATAGCTTTGGCTTTCTATTTTCCTGAGGATTAGGGGTTACATTGTTGGAGGAGAAGCCAAGATTTGATTTTCACAGAGTTTGGGTGTTGGACTCCTGGTGGAAAGGAGATTGCACCGGATACTTGGGTATGGGAAGGAATTGAGTGGTATACCATTTGATACTGGTATTGATGATTATGCTTTGCTCTGTCTGGCTTTGGCTTCTAATGAAGCTCTCAAATTAAGAAATCGAACGTGTAGTTTTCTCTAAGGAAGCTCTCAAATCACCTTCCAAGGAAAGAAAATTCCCATGGTAAAATTGGAACCCAAACATACGCAATAATTACCACATCATTACACCCTCTCCCCGACAACATTTCAGATAAAAGGTATTTTACACAAGTGCGTACACCTTTGACCACAGCTGGGCACGTGTTGACTCCTCAATGGCGGCACCACACGTAGCTTAAAATAAAGAAACGGAACTCCTCCCTCCTCCGCCAATCAAAACGCGCCAACACACAAACCCGTCTTCGGTAAAATAGACCCACCCAAACCCAACCTCCGCCGCTGCTCCTCAAAGTGCTTCACCAAACCCACACACCCCTCTGTTTCTGCATTTTTTTTAAAAAAGCCTACAAATTCCACTGTCGCTACAATCTTCTCAGTCCACCGCACCAGACCCGATTACCATTTCCATTTCCAAGCCCGACCCGACTTCATTTTCCCCAAACTCTTTTTTTCTCTCTAATTTTCTCTTTATTATTTTTTAATATTTTGGAGTTTTGAATCTGATTTAGTGGATTTGGGAGAGGGATTTGGATTTCGACCATGTTACGCCTCTGAGGGTTTTTTGTCGGAGATCGATCAATGGCGTCGATCCGGCGAACTCTATCGCCGGCGTTCAGAGACCGGCCGTATGTGAACGGCGTCGGGTCTCCATTTTCGGTGCAATCGCCGTCGCCGAAGCTTCTGTCCAGCTCCAGATATTCACCGCCTTTTCCGTCGGCGATTCTCGCCTTCACCGTCACCATCCGGCGCTTCGTCGCCGGAGCTCTTTTCCACCGACCTAATCGCAAAGGCCAGCAATGGCGTCGAGTGTTCTACAGGTGCTTGCTCTTCTTCTTCCTAGGGATTTTGCTCGGTCTGTTGCCGTTCGGCCACGTGGACGACGATGACGAGATTCGAGGCCGGAGCTTCAATTTCGACATCAAGCCTTCGCACGTTAATGTGCAGTTCGACAACGACAACACGGATCGCGTCGTAAAACGGAGGGAGGATCTCGTCGTCGACGTGAGCCTCGGCGTGGTGGAGAGTAGAGGGGAGTTGGTGCCGAGGAAGCAGCTGATTATTGTGACACCGACGTACAACCGCGCGCTGCAGGCCTATTTCTTGAACAGGTTGGGGCAGCTGCTGAGGCTTGTACCTCCGCCGCTGCTTTGGATTGTGGTAGAGAACAAAGCGGCGTCGTTTGAGACCGCCGAGATTTTGAGGAAGAGCAGCGTGATGTATAGGCATTTGGTGTGTGGCAACAACTCGACGAGCGCGAAGGACCGAGGCGTGTATCAGAGGAACACGGCGTTGGAGCACATTGAAAGGCATACACTTGATGGCATTGTGTACTTTGCTGATGATGACAATATATACTCGCTCGACTTGTTTGATCGCTTGAGAGACATTAGGTAGATATCTTCTAAATTGAGCTCATTTCACTCATTTTAATCACTTTTGCTTCTGTTGGTGTTTGTGTTTGCTTCACTTGCTTGTTTTGGAATTGGTGGTTTTCTTGGTTTTTCCGTTAAATTGGTCTGTTATTGCAATTTTAGCAATTGGAGCTACTTGGGTCTTTTTTTTCTTTCTATTTCGTGGCTTTCTTGCAGCTCTGGTTCGAATATTTTTGTACTGAAGAATGCGTAGCTGGTGCTAAAGCCCTTCACTAAACTTCATTTTGTTAGAATTTGCTTTAGTTGGTAGATTTCATATTGCTTCCCACATTTCTTCATATCTACAAACGAACATGTACAATTTACCAGTACTATGATCGTTTAGGTAGTGGATTTTTATGATTGTGTCTTCTTGCTTTGGTCAATTTTATGATTTTTATCCAAGCCCCTGCCTTTTTTTTCCTTCTTATCCTTCTTGTACCATATTTTGATCTCTTTCACTAAATTAAATTGTTTAGCTTGAGTAGGTTGTTGTTTGTTTGGGGTTCTTCCCCCTGGTTCATAAAAAAAATTGTTTAGCTTGAGAGATGTGAATGTAGTTTTGTATATCACATGATTTTAATAGGCGAGTAAAGAAAGCCCACAAATTTTCTCTAAGCCCGCCTTGGTTGAAAGATGGGAAAAGTAAAGAGAGTTGCCTCTTTGAACCATTCTGTTCAAAAGAGAGTAAATACAACAACAATTACTGAGTTACTTCTGTCTCTTTGAGAAACCGTCACATATTGGTTTTCATGAGCACCATTAGTGTCTGAACGTGTTTGCAGAATGTTACAAATGCCAACTTCAATCTTGATGAATTTATGCTGTCCTGCCTGCCTTTTGAAAAAATAAAGAAAAAACTCTACAGCTAATTCATGCTTTGATCTGTTTTGAAGCCGTTTCGGAACTTGGCCAGTTGCTATGTTAGCACAAAGCAAAAACAAGGCTATATTAGAAGGTCCAGTATGCAATGGGAGCCAAGTAATTGGATGGCACACCAATGAGAAAAGCAAGAGACTCCGTAGGTTTCATGTTGATATGTCCGGATTTGCATTTAATAGCACAATATTGTGGGATCCAAAGAGATGGCACCGCCCCACTTATGTTCCAATTCGACAATTAGACACAGTGAAGGAGGGTTTCCAAGTACGGGTCATATCATCCCATTTGTTTGAGTAATTTGCGATATCATCTTAATTTTTCTTGCTTCTCAATTTGCAATGTTGTATTGTATTTTTCATGCACTGACATTGCTCTCCCTTTTTATCTTCAGGAAACCACTTTTATAGAACAAATTGTGGAAGATGAAAGACAAATGGAAGGTATGCCAGCTGGTTGTTCAAAAGTAATGAACTGGCATCTGCATTTGCAAGCTCATAGTCTTGTTTATCCCAAAGGCTGGCAACTTCAGAAGAACCTAGATATTGTTCTCCCCATTAAATGATAGAACTCACTAACCGTGCAAGTTTGATTCCTATAGCGGGAGAAAGGTATGAAATTTTGATTCTCTAGAATTCAAAATTGAAATTTGAAAATAATGTACCTCATGCTCAGCCTCCCTTATACCATATGTATGCAAGTAATTATCAGTAAACACAATCAATTAAAAGGTTCATATGGTAGTTTTATCTTTACTGACATAAACACCATTTAACCTTGTAGAATAAATGATATAATATAATTACATTTTTGTGACAGTTCTCGAATTACATGTTGGTGGTTCTCTGCCCCTGAATGGATCATTGCTTGATTTTGGTACAATCAAAGCATTTAAGCAGCCTAGTAGAACCCGACTGGCAACGACAAACAAACAGAAGATTTACGGTTTTTGTTTGTAGATTTTTTTTTCCTGCATGATATTCTTTTACAGAAACGAAATTTCGTTTTTGTTGTAGATTTCTTGGTGTTTGATATCGTTTCTTTGTTCTTTTCAAATTGCTTAATATTCAGCTCAGTTCGTACACCCCACCAAAATAGGGTAGGGGTTAGGTTTATTATGGATCCCATACTTGTATTGTACCCAATCAAGCAAAAGGGCTTGTCCTAAAATAGATTCACATATTCAAGTAAAAACCTTTCTGCTTTTGGTATTCTCCTTCCTGTTGGGATCTAAATTCAACTCTAGCATTTTGTTTGTTACTTCGTATGGGAACACAATTATCATTTGAAAGTTGATGGGTTGAATAAATCAACCTAACCTTCTTGCTTCCGGTCATTTAAAAAATAAAATTACGAACGAGAACAAGTCCGGGTCTTACGTAGTCAACATCTCGAATACATTCCACTCACAATTGAAAAAAAATAATAATCACATGGTCTCTTTGAATGAAATTAAGTTTGTCAAACGAAGCTAATGACCCCATGTGAAATAATGGTGCCAAATCTCTACTTTGTTGGTTCTTGACTTCAAAAATTCAGGGAAACAACAGTTATTGAATGAGAGTTTAATTTGCCAAATATTCAAGATAAATACAGCGCAAACCAAACACGATTACGACAAACATGAAACAGGTCGTGTCCTGAGTGTGATAGACACGGACACAGGCACTATGCATTATTTTTCTTTAAGAAAAAGGAAAAGTTCTCTTTCAACGATCAAATTTGATTGATGGTTAAGCATGCATTAATGATAAAATGATTAATACACAATTTTTTCTTGAATTAAAATTTTTTAATAAATACATTAGCGATAATGAAGCAAATCAATAAATAATTAATTAAACAAATCAAGGTTTAATTCATTTTAATTCGACTGTTAAATAGCCACTTTCTAATGGTATTATTAGTAAAAAGAATACTTTTTGTGACTTGAGTTTTTTTTTTTTTTTTTTGAAAGTACAAACTAGCACATAGGAGGAGGCAGAAGAACTCAACCAACTGAGCAATGGCTGACTTACCTATTTTATTCTAATTAGGTGCCTCTCCTAGACCACCTGGTTGCAATTAGGTGCCTCTCCATTTCTCTCCTCCCCTTTTTTATCCCTCTCCCTCATCACCGACATCCAGTGTGTATGACAAGGTCGCCAGCCAACAAGAGGGTCCAATGAGGAAGGGAAGAGGGAGAAAAAAGAGAAATAGAGAGACAAAGGGAAGGGGATACTCAAGCTAGCCCATATCAGCTTTGGATTAGAGGCTAAGCAAGCTATCCGCTCTTCGAAACAAAAAACATTAATCTTATTAGTGGTGCTAGGAAGGTGAAATTTTTTAGTGAGGAGGCTAAATCATTCCTTACATTGCTTAATCCATTTTCAGTGCGCGTCTTATGGAAATAATTATGATTGGGAAAAGAAACGACAAAAGAAATAAAAAGAAATATGAACTAAAAAGCTCGAGGAAAATTCAACTATAATTTACAGGGACCTGTTAATGAGCTAGACCTTGCTTTCAGCAGCTAACCACCCAAAACAAAACTGTTAACTACACCTGCCCTCAGATTAGATTGGAACTTGGAGGAACCAAAATTTACAAGGACAAAATACAAATACATATAATTTTGAAAAATCAATTATGGTACATTTCACAGAGCAGTAGATGAGTGGTGAGCAGTAGAAATGGCAATTCCTTTCTTTCTTTTTTTGTTCTTTTTTCCTTTTTGCATCACTCGCAATTTCTGAAGAATTGATATTTCCATCTGCAGTCGGACTGAACTTATCTTAGGTTACCAATCAACAGCCCCAAGTGATAAGCCGCGATGTGTGTGGCCTTTCCGACAATTATGGCTCTCTAATTATCGGATGTCCCAATTTGTACTATACATAGCTGGTCAATTCCCAGAGTCCGAATGCAATCTCTTTATCACGTCGGAGTTGCTCCATGAACTGATGAATTCGTGTCTGTAGGGTGAAACGATGATGGCAAATGCGGTTGCTGTAAATGTGTTTCATTTGCAAGACCAAGAATTGCAAGTGTCGGTCTGCCAAAACACATGCAATGAGCTTTAAACAGAAGAAAGAAACTGCTATCCCCAGTGTATATGGAAAAGCAAAATAGAGAACGGACTGAACAACAATTATGGTAAACACCTGAATAATACTGCAGTTAAAGTCAAACGGGAAAAAAAAGGGAGCAAATTCTAGAGTCTAGAAAGTTCTTCACAAGAAGAAAAATACTATAAACCTGTTCAATCAAAATAATAACTCAGAAGCCTACGAATGCATTATGAATCACTGAAGCAATTGCAAATATTAAAGTCAGACAGATGTTTCACAGTTTCATAGTCAAACTTCACTTCCGACAAGTTTTATAGACCGGACATGTCAGACAAAGGGGTTGGTTTCAATGAAAAACCATAGACCATGCTCTTTCAAGTTTTATCTATAGTAGCCTAAAAAAAATTGCAAAACAATCTCCGCGGAATAAAGTGGGTGGTCAATCAGATTGCACAATACCTAGGGAGTGAAGCTTTAACACTAGGCTGGCTAGCATAAGCAGCAAGGGGACCTCTGAGGTTCACATATTTGTTCAAAGCACTTTCAAGTTGTGGGGGCGGTAACTGCAAGGAAAAAATAGGCAAAGAAAGCTGTGACTAAAATCACCAATAGACAGCAAGGGAAAGTTCTCCATATAAATAGACAATGTGATACCTGTAACAATACACGGAAAGAATGTGGCTGTGTCTGAGACGCACATTTCAAGAAGCCAACCCACAGTTTTGGCATTCTCCACACCTGCAGTCAAGATTGCATATAAAATATCAGTTGTCCCCTAGCCATGCTAATTACGAGTACTGACACATCAACCTGAAAGATCACACACAAGCCACAATAACACAGATGCATAATGGTAATTCTAACCCCCAGTACACATACCTGTTTACTCACAAGTTTGGAAAGTATTTCCATTACAAAATCAACCTGAATAGAACAAAGGCATGAAACCGTGTATTTACATAAATATGGAAATCAGGACAATAACGGAAAAAGAAAAAGAATAAAACGAAAAGGAAAATGAAGAAAAGAAAGTTACCAGTGAAGGAAAAGCATCAATTGCCTGAATAACTGTCCGCATAAAGAGAAGAGGAAGAGGAGTTTGATCAACCTGAAAAACAAATCAGTTAACTAAACACTACATGAAGGACAAATATTGACAGATGATATATGCATACCATCTGATTCAGGGCCTTTGCCAAGACCTGCTGTGTGAAAACTGTGCGTTGCTCGAAACAAGCTGAGCAAGCATCTGTTATCTGCAAAGAAAGACAAGCATACAAAACCGTTAATAATGATACAAGGCGCATGATACAAAAGGAGCAACCATACCATCACAACCAAATCATGGCATAGACACCAAAAAAGGCGATATAAAGTATTCTCAGGTAAAGTACATCAAAAAATTAAAAAGGGGGGCTTCATTGAGTTGTGCAGAAGTACAATGAGATACGTGCCACAATAATAATATTTTTATTATTGAGTTGACAAGGCAGAAAATTAAACCCTGCCAGTGGGATGCACCTTGGCAAGACAAATTGAAGGGATGTGCCTTTGTCAGAGTTAATTGCAAAACGCAAGATTAGTTCAACCTCAATCCGATCCATTCCAATTTGTTTGAGCTTTTATTCCATCCGAGTTGTACTTATTACAAAAAGTACATCCCCGATATACATTGCAAAGAAGATTAATATATAAAGTACAACACAAACCTATATTTGGGCAGAGCTATTTTCCTAAGGTTGGAATGTGGGAAACTTCAAATTGATCAAGGCCTGTATTTTCGTCCAAATTGATCAAAACGTACTACCGAATGAATATAACCATTATATTATGTGAATTTTGGGTACACAACTACTTGTGAAACATTGGATAGAAGATAGGACCAGATGGCGCATTGTAAGCAAATAAGTGGTAGTTCATAGATCATCCAACTGTCTATAACAGTTTATTGAACGGAAAATAATCAATAAGTACATGCCTTCTTAAGTGCGAGACCATCTTTCTCGGGAACAATTCCATGGATGGAAACCAAAACTTCCGCGGGTGTTAAAGCTGGACCTGTATGAGCTGAGCCCTGCAATTGATAGGATATAAACTTAGTAACTACACATACAAGTACTTCAGCAGTTCACAAAGTCAAACCCTTAGTAACTACCCATTGTTTGAATAGCCTTACTTCAGAATTTCTCAACATCCTACATATCTATATACACCTTGTATCCTTTGCAAATCTCAAATTCATAAGATAAAAAACTTAAGTCTGATTTTCCTTTATAACAACTGAATGTGATGTATCCCAAAAAAAAAAAAACAAAAAATCTGAAATGTGAAAGGAAATCAATTTTTTTTTATAGTTGCATGTGTCCATATGCCATTATCAAGGACACATAAAACAGTGTTATACATTAATAAAAACAAAAGGTGTTATACATGCGTATATAAATACACAACACACACACACACTGCGCAATTAGCATTTGTGTGAAATCAGACACTGAAAACTGCATGTACCTGTAGTATGTGAGCAAGTGCTGTCTGGAACTTTTCTAATGGAAGAGCGACAAGCCGAGGGAATATAGGTAAAACCTGGTCCCATTAAATGATTACACAGCCATAAGGATACATCTATATGAAACTAACATAACAGCATAAACAATATCAGTACTGATGTTACTCTTTTTTATTTAACACAAAATGTGTGATACCGTTTCATGAACTAATAAACCATGCTAAAGAAAGGAACATTATAACACAATAATAAAACTAGCTTCTCATGAATCAAAACAAAATTGGAATTCGTTTCTGTTTTTTTTATACTTCAGATCTTAGTAACATGCATTTTCCTCTCACTTGTGCCACGAGCGCAATACTAAGGTTGAAATCATAATGAAGATGATATGCAGCACTTTTCATATTAATAAAGTTTTTCTTTTACTTTATCTAATTCATGTTTCTTAACTAACTTTTAATATTACGCAATGGAATTATGTTTTTAAGCATGCATACAACATGATGGAGAAAGCTTAATCTTTATTG